TTCCAGCATGGCTAACTAAAAAAGGGCAGAACTGGTAATGTCATTTGGGAATGTGCTGGTGACAGTAGGTGACAATTCCAACTCACTCAGCTCTGGGAATGCAATGGGAAAATTAAGGTGGGCATCAGGGGCTCAGCTAATATTGTTCTAACCTTCATAGAGAGTAAGCAATCCCTCCCTGTGAAATCTACCTCATGCCAATGAAAATCTCTCACCTTCCTTTATCAGTGGCTGAAATTCCACCCCTATAAGCTGGGTCGGCTAATTCCAAGAACCAGGGTGTTTCTCATTATATTAAATTCATCTGCTAGTAGAGGTGACATACAAGGTCACTATCTCCTCCAGCCCCTTAGATCTGCTTAGCCATTGTGGGATGGTAGACTAGGAGGAGTAGGGAAGCCATCCAATGGGGGTATTCTGTGGTGATGGAAAGAAAGGTGAGAAGGTTCCAGGGATAAGCTTTGCAAACCTGACAGGTGGTCTGGCTCCCAAATGGGGCAGCAAGTGCTAATTAGGGAGGTTTCCTAACACGGAATTAAAATAGACCAGTCCATTCAGAGGAAGTGGTCTATAATCAACTTGAGAAGCCAGGCAGGGTTGTGTGACTCCAATCCCAATTAAGGAGGCTGAGACAACTCCTCCTGGGATATCAACCCTCCAGTTTATGAAAAAGATGGCCCAGAGCCATTTTCCATTTCCTTTCTCCTGGGCCAAGGTTCAATCTCTGGAGAAGACAGTGAAGAGGACTTCCCTTGATAATGATTCCCTGGAGGCATGAAGGATGGAGAAAGCAAAAAATTCCAACTGTCCCTGGAAAAAAATTAGGAAGTGAGGCTGGCCTTCCCTACTCTGGAGTTCTCTGTGCCTGATTCTTTGGGCTCCAAAAACTCTTCCTTCCTTTCTTCTCTGTGGGTAGTCACTTAATCTTTCCGATCTTCCATTTTCCCATTTGTAAAATGGTGATAATAACCCTGCCCCCTTTGGGGATTAAGTGTCTTCGAAGCTCCCATTTATCTTCTCCTTTATGTCCCCATTGTCTTTGATTTATTCCTCTGTAGAGTAGTGTCTGGTAATTTAGTTGCCTACCTGTCCTATTCCTATCTGGAGATAGTGAACTTCTTGGGTTTTTCAGTAACTGTAACATATTTATCTTTTTATGCACAGCAGCCAGTGCAGTGCTCTCCTCATGAAGTGGCTCAGTGAATGTTTGTTGAGTCAGCCGATGAAAACATGCATCAACAGATGAGTAAACAAATGAAGGCCAAAGGACTGTGCACCTCTGAGTACTACTGAGGGTTACACTATATGTCTCTGTCCCAAGGTGTCAACCCTTCTGCAAGAGATGATTGGAGAGGGCCTTCATTCATCCCAAGGAGCCTAGTCTGTCTAGGGCAGGACTGGGCACTTTTCTCATAGGAGGAACACTTTGAGAGGCACGAACAGGGAGCTGGATCAGAGGAGTATATGCCCCTGCTGTCAACGTGGGGGTGACCGGCCCACGGAATAGAACTTATCTCTGATGTATGCCATGAGCCCTACCTAGGAGTCCCTTCCTTAGGGGCGGTCCCTACCTCCATGTAGATAGACCTGGGTAGGAATAGTGTTGCCTAGGAGTGGATGGATAAGTCTGCTTAAGCCTGGGCCTCAGTTAATAGGCTCATGGCTCATAAGGCTTGGGATTTAGCAGAGAGGCTGGAGCCTAGCACACTGGATTTTCACCTCAAAGAAGATGCTACAGCATACTATGTGGGTGCACTTTTTTTCCCAAAGCAATTGTGGCTGAGGCAAAGATTGGTCTATAAGTGCATGAAGATGGAGTCATTGGGACCCCATTTCACTCCCTTGCAATAATATTATACATCCATACCCCTTTCATAGCCTCATGATGGAAATGATAATTGTCTCTGCCACTTGACATTGAGCTTGGCCCTATGACTTGCTTTGGCCAAGGGGATGTTGGCAGATGTGAGGAAAGCAGGAGCTTGAATTTGCTTGTGTGACTGAGTTTGTGTTCTTGTGCTTCTGCCATCACCATGAAAATGCCATATTTCAGGTTGCCACTGCATCCTCATGTCAGACACCAAAATGAGACACTGGAGTGAAGCTCTACCAGCCAATCTGCAGACATATGAATAAGAAGTACATGTTTCTAGCTGCATGTCATTGAGATATCAAGGTAGTTTGCTACATAGCAAAAGCTGACTGATACAAGGCAAAATCTGTGTTTTAAATTTCAAGCTTTTTGACATTGACAGTTGAGGAAATTATTTACTGCCTTTAATTTGCAAGGCAGCAGTTACTAAAGTTTAATATACATATAGCCTGTGACAAAAAAATGTGTATGGAGGACATTCAGCTTTTGTCCTCCCATAGACATGTATAAAAATATTCATAGCAGCTTCGGCCATAATACTAGACCTGGAAATAACTCAGATGTCCTCCAATACAGCACAGAAGGTCAGGGAGGGAATGGGAGTGAGAAAGGAGAAGCAGAAAGTTGTTGGGGATGCAGGGAGAGAAGAAAGAATAAGTGGGGGTGGACTCTTCCTGATGGAAGCGGTTTGAGTGTGTTTATAAGCTGTGAAAGAAGATTCAATAAGGAGGTAGCAGTTGACGGTTCAGGGGGAGGTGCAGAGGGATGGAATAAGGTGTCCGACAGGTAGCAGGGTGTGGGATTCTAAGCCCAGATGCAGGAGTTTGCGTCAGAGAGAAAATTGGAACAGATGGTAGGAAGATGAAGATGTGTGTAGGTTTTTGGGATCAGAAATCCAGAAGGGTCCTGCCCAATATGGGTAGTGGGGAGTTAGGGAAATTAAATAGAATAATGAGAATTTGTAATAACCATTGTGGGAAATGAGAAAGGAGCCAGTAAAATTGTCCAGGGGCAAATATGATTGCGAAACAGCTCCAAAAGTCCAGCTGAGGGGTTGGAGACCAGGAAATTGTCATGCTTTCTAACAAGATTCAGCAACACGGATATAGGAACCAAGAAGTTAAGAGATTGGCCTGTTTTGTGTCTGGGATTTTAGGGTATAGAGAAGCCGAGGAGCTAGCAATTCTGTGCGAGGAATACATGCTGGACTCAACAGTCCTACTCTTTTTTTTTTTTTGAGACACTCAGACTGGAGTCTATGATCTAGTGGCATGGACTCGGCTCACTGCAACCTCCACCTCCTGGGTTCAAGCAATTCTCCTGCCTCAGCCTCCCAAGTAGCTGGGATTACAGGTGCCCACCACCACACCCAGCTAATTTTTGTATTTTTAGTAGAGGTGGGGTTTCACTGTGTTGGCCAGGCTGGTCTTGAACTTCTGACCACAAGTGATCCACCCGTCTCAGCCTCCCAAAGTGCTAGGATTACAGGTGTGAGCCATCGCGCCCGGCAACACTCCTACTCATTTTGGTGATAAAAGGAGATTGATGCCCCAGAGCCTGATTGGTCTAGAGGATCTGAGAAGTGATTTAAGGCAGTGGGTGAGGCCTTGGCGGTCTCTCCCTCTATTGCTCCAATCAGAGTGGCTGAGCTGTTATCTTTAGGGTAAGACTGACATTTTTTTTTCCCAAACAACTTTATTGAAAGATAATGGGCATTCAGTTAACTGTGCACATTTAAAGTGTATGATTTGATTAGTTTTAACTTATATGTACATCTGTGAAACCATCACCATAATTAAGATAATCAACTATACATAATCCTTCAGATTTCCTTATGCCCTTTTGCAATCCTTCACTGATCTGGTTTTTTTTTCACTATAAATTGGTGTGTATTTTCAGAAAATGAAATCATACATTATGTACTATTTTATTGTCTGGCTTCTTTCATTCAGCTTAATTATTTTGAGATGTTGTTTCACGTATCAATAATTCATCTTTTGTGGCTGAGTAGTATACCATAGTGTGTAGATCCCACCATGCGTTTACCCATTCACTTGCTGATGGACATAGCCAATGTTTGGCTATTACAAACAAAGCTGCTATGAACATTTATGTACAAGTCTTTGTAGGGACACAAACTTTCATTTCTCTTGGGTATATATCTAGGACTAGCATGGCCATGTGGTAGGTGTTTGACTTTTAAGGAAATTACCAAACTGCTTTCCAAAATGCTTTTCCACTTTAAATTTCCACTAGCCATGTGTGGATAATCTAGTTGGTCTACATCTTCTCTGATGTTTTAAATTTAGCTCCTCTAATAGGTATGTGTTAATATCTTATTGTGGTTTTAATTTGCATTTTCTAATGATGGTGAGTTATCTTAGGAGCTTATTTGCCCTCTATGTATGTTTGAAGTATCAGTTCAAACCTTTCCCCATTTTTAAACACTGAGTTGTTGGTTTTCTTATTATTGGGTGTTGAGAGTTCTTAATATATTGTGAGTACAAGCCACTTATCAGATAAATGATTTGCAGATGTTTCTCCCAGTCTGTGGCTTGTCTTTTCATTCTTTTGATAGTGTCTTTTAAAGAGCAGGCATTTCTAATTTAGTTGACATTCAAATGATCAAATTTTCTTTTGTGAATCATGTACTTGATGTTGTAACTAGTAAATCTTTGTCTAGCTCCAATTCACAAAGGTTTTCTCCTATGTTTTCTTCTCACTGGAAACAATGCAGGAAAGAAAGTAGTGAAGCAATATCTTTAAAATACTGAAAGAAAAAAATGGCAACCTAGAATTTTATGCCCAGCAAAAATTTCAAACACAAGGAACAAATTAAAAACAAGATGACAGATCTAAACTTAATTATACAAATAATAGCATAAAGTGTATATTTTCCTATCCTTTTGCTTTAATCTATTTTTGTCTTTATAGAATGTATTGAAAGTAAGGCTGAAAACTGCAATTACTTTTGCACCAACCTAATATATTTGTTGTAGCCAGCCTATAATTTAGTGTGCTGTCATACTTATCTTTGTTCCTCTATAGGTAATACATCTTCTCCTTCAGTCTACTTTTAAGATTTTCTCTTTTACATTTACAAAAATTGGTTATGGCTGGGTGCGGTGGGAATGCCTGTAGTCCCAGCTACTTGGGAGGCTGAGGCTGGAGGATCGCTTGAGCCCAGGAGTTCTGGGCTGTAGTACGCTATGCCGATCGGATGTCCGCACTAAGTTCGGTGTCAATACGGTGACCTCCCGGGAGTAGGGGACCACCGGGGTGAACCGGCCCAGGTAGGAAATGGAGCCAGTCAAAACTCCCATGCTGATCGGTAGTGGGATCACGCCTTGGATAGCCACTGCATGCCAGCCTGGGCAACATAGTGAGACCTTGTCTCTGAAAAAAAAAAAATAAAAAATAATTGGTTATGATGTGTGTTGGATTGCTGGGTTTATAGTTTTCATCAGATTTGGGAAATTTTCAGCCATGATATTTTCAAATACTTATTCTCATCCTTCCTGCCTGCTTCAGGAACTCCAATTACCTGAATTTATATTCTACCTCACCGATGGTATGTTTTCCCCATCTTCCTTCTCTTCCTTCTCTTTGTCCTCCTTGTCCTCCAATTATTTTTTCTCTGTGTGTTTTATTTTGGATAGTTTCTCTTGCCATGTATTCATGTTAATCGTTTCTTCTGCAATGTCTAATCCATTGTTAATTTCCTGTAGTATATATTTATCTCAGATATTTTAGTTTTCCTTTATACAAGCTTGACTTGGGTCTAAAATATTTTTCATGAATCTATTTAACTTTTTGAATATGTGAAATACTGTTACAACTGTTTTAATCTCTTTTCTTACTTAAATCTATGTCAGCTGTGGGTTGATTTTGATGTACTGATTTTTCTTTTTATTATGAGTCACGTTTTTCTACTTCTTTGAAGACCTGGTAAATTTTAAGTGTTGATTGAAGTTTCAGACATTGTGGATTTTGTCTTTTTGAGTGCTGGATATTTTTTGTGTTATTATAAATATTCTTGAACTTTGTTCTGGGATGCAGTTAAGCTACTTGGAAATAGTTTGATACTTTTAGATATTGTTTTTATGCTTTGTTTTTAGGTGGGACCACAGTAACGCTTGACATAGGCCAAAACACTTTTCAGTACTATTCCTAGTGGTCTGTGAATTGTGAGGTTTTCTGGTCTAGTTGGTGGAAACAGGTACCATTCAGGGCCATATGTGAGTGTCAGGAATCGTAGGTCTAATCCTTTAGGGTATTTTATTTTTCCCAGCTTGGATAGTTTTCTTACGTTTATGCGCAGATCATTGCTTTGCTGAGTGTTCAAGGGGGACTTGCTATACATCTCAAGAGCTCTCTTTCCACACAGCAGTCTCCTCTCTGATGCTCTATTCTACACATCCTACCTTCCCTGGCTCCCTGGCTTCCTTGCCCCATCTTCTCACCTCAGGGAGTTTTGAGACTCCATCTGGGTGCTGGTTGTTCCTTCATTTTGGCTTGGCCTGGAAACTCTCTCAAGGGAGTCATGAGCGAGGCAATTTTAGGACTCATTTGTTTTTCATCTCTCAGGGATCACTGTTCCTACTTATGAATGTCTAAAGCCTTGAAATGTCCAGGTTTTTTTTGTTTTTGTTTTTTGCTTCTAATGGAAGGTAAATCTGATCTTTGTTAAGCAATCTTGGCTGGAAGTGGAATTCTGATAAGGCCGACTTAGAAAAAAGCTCCCTGCATATCTTCAGCTCCCCAGAAGCAGATCCTGACCCATTTACCATGATTCTTCCAGGAGAAATTGGTAACGTTTGGGACACAAGGAAAGGAAGAAAGCCAAGCAAGGGTATTGTCTTCTGCAATGCCCCATAGAGGAAGCTTTAACCCGATCCTGCAGGGAAGCTCTGAAATATATGTTATGTCTCAGAAATGTCTCGAGGAGAGCGAAGGAGCTGGGTTTTCTTAGCTTCACTCCCACTTGGCAGTCAGTAATTTAGGGCCATTATTTAAGAAGGGCCCAAGGGTTACATTTAATGGCTAAGACATAGGAAGATTTTGTGGGCTGTTTGACATATCTGCCACCTGTGTGGTGTGTTTAAGGAAGAGGATGAACAGAGGTGGCAGCATTCATTGTAGAAAGAACAGCACCCATATCTACCAGGAATCAATGAGGTTGACCATCTGTAATTATAATAGTTAATTTGCCTTAGATGTTTAAGAGTAAGGCAGGATATTGAGTACTTTTTCCTTCCTTTGAGACCCTCCATTCATCTAAATTGAGAGACTTTTTTTTTTTCCATAAAATGGGATGATTTTTCCAGTGTCCCTTCTGTTTATGATATCTAAATGTGTCCTCATTAGTACAGGTGACCAGTTTGGAAGTGAGCCATCTACAGCTCTTTGATCTGCAGGGCTGTAACAGTTGGGCTCTCCCACTGTCCCTCGCCTGGCGGAACAGAACCAACAGGATATATATGTGTGTGTGGGTATATATATGTGTGTGTATATATATACATATTATATATATGTATATATATATTTTATATATATATATATACACACACACACATATATATACACACACCTATTGGGTCTGGGTCTATTTCTCTGGGATATATATATATATATATATGCACACACACACACACACATATATATATGTATATATAATTAAAAAGATTTTTTTTTTTATTTGAAGGAATTGACTCACTCAATTGTGGGGGCTGACAAGTTTGAAATCTGTAGGGCAGGCTGCAGGCTGGAAACTCAGGCAGAATTTCTGTTACAGTTTTGAGGCAGAATTTCTTCCTCTATGGAAAAATCTCAGTTTGTGCTTTTAGGGCCTCTTCAGCTGATTGGATGAGGCCCACTTACATAATGGAGGGTAATCTCTTTTACTTAAGGTCAGCTGATTAGAGATGTCAATCAGATCTATTAATATAAAATACCTTCACAGCAACATGTAGACTAGTGTTTGAGCAAACAATGGGGCATCATAGCCTAGCTTCTCTTTTTTCTTTTGCATGATGAAATTATACTCCAATAGATTTTTTATTGGAAATATTTCAGGTATGGCTTTCAGGAGATTTGGCCCTACTTTTTGGGCCTGGTTTTTCAACTTGAGGTTTATTGTGGAAAGAGAGACCCAGGTCAGTCCGATCACCTTTAGTAGCATTTAGCATCTGGGGTTCTGACCAACATGTGTAAAATTGATAGAGGTCTGGTAATCCTGGGTCACGTGTACCCCAAATAATTCTAAATTTATTTGTGACTAGTTGCTGGTCTTGTCTGGGTTTTGGAAAATCTGTACTTATGGTTATTAATTCAGCTGTGGCCCAAAGTTTAAATTCTACATTTCCTTGCATATGTGGCTCGTGGGAGGGGCTATATCTTTGAGGCACCTGGTGTTTAAGGATCTTAGGAATTTTTTTTTTTTTTTTGAGACAGAGTCTCAAACTTGTTGCCCAGGCTGAAGTGCAATGGCATGATCTTGCCTCACTGCAGCCTCCGCTCCTTGGGTTCAAGCTATTCTCCTGCCTCAGCCTCCCGAGTAGCTGGGGTGCACACCACCACACCTGGCTAATTTTTTGTATTTTTAGTAGAGATGGGGTTTCTCCATGTTGGTCACATTGGTCTCGAACTCCTGACCTCAGGTGATCTGCCTGCCTTGGCCTCCCAAAGTGTTGGGATTACAGCCATGAGCCAGTGTACCTGGCCAAGAATTGTAGAAAAATGATTGGGGACTGGTTAAAGGAAGAGAAGTGAGGAGTCAGCAGAAGTGCAGAGGGAAGCAATTAGAAGGGTAAGGGGGAAGAGAGAGGACTGGATCCAGGGAAGCAACTTGAGGACAAGGAGTGGGAGATCGACTAGGCAACTATGTCTAGTCTATTGTTAAGTTGTTCAACTTGTTCATTACCTTTGGGCAGAGAACCTTTTAGTGAAGCAATTTTAAAATCAGAATTGTATCTGCAGACCTCTGCACCCTGATCAAAGTATCTTATTCTCTTCGTTTTTTAAGGTATCTCTCAAATGAACAATTTTGTTCAAGTCACACATTCCCCGCAGTGGTCGTTGGAGGTCCAAATGATTCTTGATGGAGTTAGGATATTTAGAAAGATGAGGCACAAAAATTAGAATTCTAACGAAGGTCTGTGTAACAATCAGGAGTTTTTCCAGGAAGAGAAGAGGATTTTGATTCAGATGATCCCATGAGAGCCATTGGGTACTTTGTGTCTTGGGCCCCCAGCCTGATGGTTAATGGTCTCTAAAGGTAGACCTGACAATTTACACTTCTTGCAGAAAAGCAGAGAGAACATTCTCTCTGGACAAAAGATGGCAGACAAACCTTACCCAAGTTTATTGGTGTCTCACAGCAAAGTTTGTCCGAATGGGTCCTGATCCAGTGAGAACCACAAACTCACCAGTCTAGGAGGCTGACTTGATCAACAGGTCTGTGTGATGTATGCCTGTGTTCTACCCTGTGACCCTTGTCCTGTGGCACAGCAGAAAATGAAAGAATAAAAGAAATGAAAAAGAATGGTCTCATTCTACCAAAGACACAAACAAAAAAATGGGAAGAATAATAAAAATCAGGGGCAAAACTAATAATAAATAGCTGAGAACTCAATGCAAAGACAGTGGAGTTCAGACCCAGCTCTGACTTCCCACATGGGTGTGGATTTGACAAGCCACAAGCAGCAAGGCACGAGAAACCTCTACAAGTACCGCACCTGGACAGAGGTGGAGGTCCATGGTGATGGGCAGTGCAGGCTGTATCTCAGCAGGACCTCCAGGAAAACTATGGAAACAAATGAAGACCACCCTCATGAGAACAGACAGAAGCTTAGAACTTGCAAAGGAGTCCACCATCATTTGCATTTGGCAGGGACTCAAAAGCAGGCAGAGACTGGAAAAATTCACAGTGGAAAAAAAAGGGAAGTCTTCAGGTATGCTGTGATTGGAGTTATTAGCACGGGGACACCAGAGGTAGGCTAACCGAAAGAGGGTTATCTTATGTGGTTGGCTGGGGAGCATATTTGACTTTTTCTGATTTGTCTTGACTTGGAAGCAGGGGCAAAAAATAGGGAAACTGAAAGTCATTGACCAATTCCTGGCCAGGTGCGGTGGCTCATGCCTGTAATCCCAGCACTTTGGGAGCCTGAAGCTGGTAGACCGCTTCGAGACCAGCCTGGGCAATGTGGCAAGGCCCCATCTCTATGAAAAATACAAAAATTGGCCGGGGCTGGTGGTGCATGCCTATAGTTCTAGCTACTTGGGAGGCTGAAGTGGGAGGGGTGCTTGAGCCTAGGAGGCAGAGGTTTCAGTGAGTCAAGACTGTGACACTATAGTACAGCCTGGGTGACAGAGGGAAACCCTGTCTCAAAAAAAAAAAAAAAAATTAGCCAGGTGTGGTGGCGCATGCCCGTAATCCCAGCTACTCTGGAAGCTGAGGCAGGAAAGTCACCTGAGTCCAGCAAGCTGACGCTGCAGTGAGCTGAGATCACGACACTGCACTCCAACCCGGGTGACAGAGTGAAACCCTGTCTCCAAAAAAATCAAAACAACAACAAAAACCTCAGATTCCCAGGCTGCATGTGACGCTGTCTCAGCCAGCATCTCTGGGGGTGGTGCCCAGGACTCTTTCTCTTTAATAAGATCCCTAAATGAATCTTACGCACACTAAATAGTAGCTAACATTTGCTAAGCAGTCACCAGGCACCGACCTAAGCCCTGGGCAAATATTAACTAACTGAATCTTCCCAGCAACTCTGTGAGATAGGAATGGATTCCTTCCACTTTGGGAAGAGGGGAAGGACGCTCAAAGAGATTTAGTAACTTGCCCAATGCACGCAGCCTGAAAATGGCAGTGCTGCGATTTGAGCCCGGGCCACTGGCTTCAGAGCCCATGAATCCACCGCTGTTGGTGTCACAGGGCTCAGATCGCTGTTCTGGGAGACCTCAGTCATCCGGCACCTGACCTCTCCAAGCCCTCAGATTTGAGCTCAGGGTCCTGTCACCAGCCCAGACCCTCCCCTGAGACTGACCCTCCTGTCCCTACCTGGATGTCTCAGGCATCTCCCATCCATATTCTGGACTTATTCTTCATCTTCCTCCCAGAGCACTCCTGCCCCAGGGTTTCCCATCCTGATGAGCCCCAGTACTGAGCCACCAACCTGCCTCCCTCCTTTCCCTCCCCTCCCATGTCCCCTCTCTTCTGACCTCTGGCTTCCTCAGGCTTTGCCCATCCTCCTCCGCCCCTTCCTATTCCCTTGGCCCCGTCCCTTCCCCCTGTCAGCTTTTGAATCCACCTCCAATCTCCTCCCCCGGTATCCCCCATCCCCCTCACAGCCCCTGAACCC